AATTGATGCCTTTGAATTATGGACTGCCAGAAGAATGAACAAATCTGTCTTGGAAGAAGTACAGCCAGAATGCTCCTTAGAAGCAAGGATGGCGAGACTTCGTCTCACCTACTTTGGACATGTTATCAGGAGGGACCAGTCCCTGGAAAGAGACATCATGCTCGGTAAGGTAGTTGTTGCTAGTTGCCATCAAGTCGGTTCCAACTCATAGTGACCCTACGTACAACAGAACGAAACACTGCCCAGTCCTGTGCCATTCTCACAGTCGTTGCCATGCTTGAGACCATTGTTGCAGCCACTCTGTCAATCCATCTCGTTGAGGGTCTTCCTCTTTTTCGCTGACCCTCTACTTTACCAAGCATGATGTTCTTCTGCAGGGACTGATCCCTCCTGATAGCATGTCCAAAGTATGTGAGATGTAGTCTCGTCATCCTTGCTTTTAAGGTAAGGTAGAGGGTTATCGAGAAAGAGAAAGACCCTTAACGAGATGGATTGACACAGTGGCTGCAACAATGGGCACAAACATAGCAACAATTGTGAGGATGGCACAGGATGGGGCAGTGTTTCATTCTTTTGTACACAGGATCCCTATGAGTCGGAACCGACTTGAAGGCACCTAACAACAAGAACAACAAATTACTGTGGCTACTGCGCAGGGGGCGGTGAGGATAAGGGGAGGATTTCATGGTTAACTGTCTTTATATATTACTTGTTTTACATACAGACCGTAGTCATTAATTTCTTGCAAAATAATTTTCAAAAAAAAAAGAGGGAAGGAAGAAAAGAAAAGAAACAGCACCCAAGCAAACCACAAAAGAAGACGCCCGAAACGAAGTTCTATCACCTCCCAGGCCCCTCTTTCCTAATTCCCTCCTCCCACTAATATGCTCACTTAGGAGAAGGGAGACAGGCTTTTCATTTAATTAAAATGTAAAATACTTTTTTTTTTCCTGCTTGGTGGCTAGGGATATTCTGCTGACTCAGCAATGAATAATCAGCTTTGACCTAAATAATAAAATAATTCAAAGTGGCAGCTGCAGTTGCATAAGCAAGATCCAAAGCTGCAGTTCCTTCTCTCTCCTACTCCTCTCCCCCACACCCCCTCCTGGCTCCGTGCAGGCAAGCCGGTTACAGCAGGTTCTTTCCGCCTCTCTACCCCCAATGTCTGGCATCATTTCTCACCAAATCTTTCCAAAAGAATCTTACCACAGAACCAGACTTGGCCTCATCTTCTCCCTCCCACAACAAACCCCATCTGGAGGCTTTGCCATATCATCTCTCCCTACTGGGCTCCGTGCCCCGTTCTCGGCTCCCTGAACCTGACTCTCCATTATACACATCAGCTCTCCTCAGAGTGGTGGCCTTTCCCTCTAAACCTCTAATTCCAGAATGGGCGGAGCCCTGCCATCAGCTTGCCAAAAGGAGATGGCAGAAAGCAGTTTCCTATGTAAATCCTATGCACCTTTCTATGCAATCCCTCCACACCATTCCCAAGTCTCTACCGCTTCTCTCCAGAAATTGGCTAGACCCCCCGTTCCCAGCTCTACATCCAAAGAACGCTGGACCTACTTTACCCAGCTGGCTTTCCCAGCACCTGCTAAGAAGATGTGGTGGGGGTAGATGTGGGCAGGTGGGAGGGGCGCTGGAATAAGAGATACAGAAGCATGTAATGAAAGATAGCATCCATCAAGACTTCAGGACAGCCTAGTTCCTGTTTTACTAGATCGCTTAAGAGATGATTTGAGGGGCCTGTAGAAGTGGGTTCAAAAAAACCCAAAATAGTATTCAACAAACCAGAAAACAGAATCTCTGTGCACAGACTCAAAGCAGCTGGGCACATCTGGTCTAAAGAAAAGGAGAGAGAAAGTGTGTGCTTGGCTCCACACATGTACACATGCAATCCTGCGAGAGACAGGGGCTCCACATGGCCTTCGCCTGAGGTTGAGTAGCACTGCTTTCCATTTCCCCTGAAGGAGATAAGGAGGAAGAAGCCTGGGAATGAAAAGAGCTTAAGGCGATTTTTCTGCTGGTAAAGGTGGAACAGTACTTGAACACCTATCTCAAGGAGATTGAAAGTGTCTGCATAAGATTGACCACTGTTAAGTTGGATATTTTCGTTGCAGAAGATAGGCCAGATAAGCTTTATTGAACCTTTGGCACCACAGCAGGAATCAGGCCAAGAGAGAATCTTGTCATTTTTGTCAAAAGCCAGAGTTTCTAAATTCCTCCTCAGTTCAGTTGCTCACAAGTATCCTGATCAGGGGTGGGCTGTGGTATGCACCCTGTCTCTCTGGAGCTGGGCTGCAGTTAGGAGTGATTCTTATCTGCTGGGAGGGTTGGAGCCTCTGGCCTGAGAGGGAGCCCACAGAACTACACTACCCCGAGAGAGGCTTTGCACAAGGGCTAACCTACCCCTGGTAAAACAAAAAAAAACCCGTTGCTGTTGAGTTGATTCCAACTCATAGCAACTCTACAGGACAGAGTAGAACTGCCCCACAGAGTTTCCAAGTAGCACCTGGCGGATTCAGACTGCAATGGAAATGCAAAGAAAGCCATAGGGTCCAACTACCCAGGGAACTCCACCCTGTAGCCTGGCTCCTCTCCCCGGGGAACAGACTGAAGAGCCTCAAGGCTTTTTCTAGTTGGAGGGTAAGGGTGGTTTCTTGTCTGAGAAACTTTGGCAGCATCAGCAGGATAAAGGAAGCTGTGTCTGTGTGCACGAGGAGCAGAAATTGCAGTGACCAGCACTCATGTGGTCCCTCTTCCTGCTACCCCCCACTCCCCAGCCTGTCTGACAGAAACACAGCTCTTTCTGCATTCCCACGCTTCCTCGTCACTCCCCTCCCTGCCCAGTTCTGGATCCAGCTAGCAAGCAAGGACAAAGTAGCCCAAGCAGCTTGACCCCCCAGCCCACCCTCAATGACTGATGACTGGGGCACTAGGTACCCAACACTGTGCTGAGGCTTCCCATTTGTTATCCCATCCAGAGGCAGGCAGGACAACCATCCCCATCTCGCAGTGGGGCTTGGCAATGTGGTTAAGCACTCTCCCCAGTTAGAAAATGGTGGAGCTGACATGCAGGCTCAGGCAGCCTGATCCTGGAGCCCACATCTCTCGGCCTCCAGATCTGCAAGCAGGCCTGACCAAGCACAAGGACTATGCCCCAAACAAGTGTCTTGCCCCACAGTACCTGTGGTGGCCTGGATGGTGGGGGTCTACCCCAGGGTTGAACACCAGTGCCAAAGAGGGCTCACTTGCCAACACCACCTCTTGGGTCCCAGCTGCCTGTTCTATGGGAGGCTACTAGGGTGGGTGGGTGATTCCTCCTTCCCCCAGAGGGCTTGGGACAGGTGCAGGCCTCTCCTATCTTCCAACCTGGGAAAAGACCTGGGAAAGATGTGGCCGGGCGGTATCTACCCTCAGCTAAGTGTATGTGTGTTAGAAGTTAGGGAGTGAGCTAGCTCTAGAAGGGGAGCATATTTACTTTAGAAATTAGTTTCTGATTGAAAGATGTAAATACCCCCAATCTGTTGAGATCCCTGATATCAGAGACTAAGCGTTGAGACGTCTCAGAAATACGTCTTTGCAGGATTTCTCTATAAAGCCTCTCTAACCTATTCCAGATCATAAAAATCTTTTCCCCTCCTCTGAATTTTTACTGCAATTGTGATCCTAACCACAGGCTCTGTATATTTGGCTTTTCCCTCCACTTACACAGCAAACTCATCAAGGGTAGATGCACAGACAATGCATCTTTGTATCCCCAACTCATACCTTTTAAACTCTCCTCCCCAAGAGTTTAAAACGTGTGAGTTGGCAGTTTGAGGTAGAAGGACCTGCTGTTATGAGGCCAGAAAAATCTTCCTAGGAGCAGCCAGGAGGTGTGGTGAGCTGAAAGAAGGAACCAGGAGACCTGGGTTCCCCTGATGGCCTGCCACCCTGGGTAAGTCACTTGCCTGACTCTCTACTTCCTTATCTGCTGGAGAAAAATGATAATACCAGCCCAGCCTACCTCATGGATTTGTTCTGAGGCTCAAACCAGATAATATAGGTGAAAGTGCTTTGTGTGTGTAAAGAACTCTGCCAGCGAAAATTACTGTGCCTCTGAGCAGCTACTTAAGATTTTTCTTTCTTTAAGCACCAGATAATAGTATGCAGAACCCATTCATTCAAAGCACACTTGTAAGCAGTTGAAGGAAAAGTAATAAAAAAAAGAGAGAGAAAAGAAAAAAAAAAAAAAGGAGGGAAGGAAATAAAGAGGGAGTGGAAAGGGAATCAGAGACATCTGACCACCAAGAAGGCTAACAGAGGCTGCCCTGAGGGCAAGGCCCAGATGACACTTACACAAGCAGACTGCAGCCAGGATTCGAAGGCCATACTCTGGGGGGATGCAGGTGGGGAAGAGCGGCTGTAACACGTAGTTGGAGAAGGTGAGGGAGATGACAGCTTGGTTGGTGGGGTAGATCACCAGCAGAGCAATCCACAGCCTCAGGAACCTGAGGGAGGAACAGGACAGGACTTGACCCAGAACAGAAACGGAGACCCCCCCAACCCTTGGCCAACACGCATAGCAGGGATTCCAGCTTCATCAGGGAAAAGCCTGGGCAAGTCAAAGGGCAGCCTTAGGAGAGGGATGTTTTCAGGGATGCTGAGGAGCCCAGCCACCCTCAAATGAGACACCTAGCCCTCTGAAATGACAATAGAGTGATTTAATAAAAAAGAGCTAAGTTTCAACTAGTACTAACACAAGTCTTGGCGTTCCTTCTCTCTCCGTTCTCCTTTCATCGTCTCTTTTCTACCACTCTGCCCCCAGCATCCAGTGGAGTGAATGGAAAAAGAAATTTTACAACCCCAGAATTTTGACAGGCAGGACATGCTGAGGGTGTGGTTACTTAAACAACTGCCAGTGAAGACATAGGATGGGAATTTATGGGAGAAACATCCTCCATACCCTTCTGCCCACTGGTTAGGGTTGAGCTCTTCTGTAGCAGGGCTGCAGAAGTTGAGGAAATTCAAAACCAGGGCCTGGGTCTAGAGGGAGACCATTATCCTTGGTAATGAGAGAAGAGGGTACCTTGTATCTCAGGCAGTGAGTCTCATTAGTCAAGATAAAAGGGCTCTGTATTTGTGACATGCTTTTCTTGGGAACCTGTGGTAAACATTGTCATATAGTTCTATTCGCCCTCACTCACTGAACTTGCCCAGAAAGATCATCATAGAGATTAAAACTGCAAACCTGGTTCCTCTGCCACTCCTGGGAGCATCAAGGGGGCACAAGGCTACACTAGCACCACGACATGGAGCCAAAAGAGAAATCCCATTCTCTAGCTCTCCTTGTCACACTGTTGGTTAGAAATCCCTGGCCTTCGCTTCCTCCAAACTGACCTCTTTCTGTGCAATCCTTCTCCTTTCCCCCTAGATCACTCAGGCCCCCATAGATCTTCTTACCCAGCCAGTCCTCCGAAGATATCCTTGACATAGGAGTAGTCACCCCCAGATTTGGGGATGGTGACCCCGAGCTCCGCATAGCACAAGGCTCCCACAGCTGTGATGAGACCCGTCACAATCCAGACGATGAGCGCGAGGCCCACAGAGCCAGCATTCTCCAGCACGCCCTTCGGTGAAACGAAGATTCCAGAGCCGATGATGTTTCCTGCACAAGGCACCAAAGGTAAGGAGGCACGGTTGGCAGGACTGGCATTTGCAGGGGTAGTCTCATCTCTGACCTGATTCTAAAATGTCTTTGGGATGTGTAAACCACTGTCAAGCAGGGTGTCTAAAATAATTCTCCCTAAAAGTAGGGTAAAGAGGAGATGAGAACTGGCATATATTTAGCCAGGAAATCCGTCAAGTACTTGACAGGTCTCATTTAACCCTCAGGACAACCCTACGGAGGCAGATATTATGTCTCCCATTTTACAGAAGAGAAAACTGAGTCTCAGAGATATTAAGTGAGTTGCTCAAGTCCACATAGTAGTAAGTGGTGGAGCAAGTATTGAATCTCAAGACCTTTTGGCTGGGCTACATGTGGTCCACCCAAGATGGCAAGGGTCTCAAGATGGACTAAAAATAGCAACGTTGGAAAAGCAGGTTGTTCTCAGAGACCAGCTGCCATCCAGGAGGCTTCAAAAATGAGCTGAAGGCCAATACCTTTTAGAAAGAATGTGGGCATGCATGACTGGGGGTTTTCAAGAACTACAAGCTTAGACAGCACTCCTGGAGGCTGGCCTCTACCCTGGACTCAACAGCCCCGCCCTTAGTGAGGAGCATGAGATGACCCTATAAAAACAGTTCTGATAGTCTGGAAATGGTTTGTAGGAGTACAATACGTGCAAAGCCTCAGCACTATATTCTTCCAAAGGTCATTGTTTCATGAGACCCTCACAACAACCTATGGGATTCAGGAAGAAGAAGGGCAGGTATTTTTGTCTTTATTTTACAAACCAAGAGACTGAGACACAGAAGGGTTAAGTGGTTTAATCCAAATTCTATAGCTACTGATGGGTAAAATTGGATCTAGAAGCTGAGTCTCCTGATGCTTAATCCAGTGCTCTTCCCACTAATCCACTTTTGCTTCTATAAGCAGGGGGCTGGTTTTCTCCTGAGAGGTGCAGCCAGCAGCAAGTACTGAATGGTTTGCTAGTGGGATACATGTTGGTCAGGGGAGGAGTGTGGGGACAGCTCCTGATATGGTTCAGTTTTTCTTTGTCTGCTTCTTATGATTAAAGGCGGTGGTTAGGGTCCATCGGATGGGTGCTTTGAAAACTCTCTCTTCATGCCCTTCCCAGCTGCACAACTAAATGCCTAAGGGATCCTTCTCAGGGAAGAAGCCGAGGTTAAATGGATCCAGGTAGAGATGCAGAGCTGGAGTATTATGAGGCCAGATGGATTTGACAGTGTTCTGAGGACATGTCCAATTGCCACCATCTCTCTTCAGGGATTTGGAACCAGTATTGGGTTGAATGATATAGAGTATAGGATTCTATGCTCAGCTTTCAGAAACAGTCTTTTGGATCACAACTCTAATTCAACCTCAATCCTGCCCTGAAGCTTTCACTTCTAAACCAAAATTCAATTTTTACTCCCAGGCCATGTACTCAGCTACTGCAGTCAAAGGGGGAGAGAAGAGGTTATTCACATTCTAGAAGTGGTAACTTTCTATTCCTCTGGGATGCAGAATATGCTGCCCCTTTTAAAACAAATACATTGTAGTGTGAGATGAGTAATGGGAGAAGGAAGGAGTTCAGAAGGCATAAAAGCAAGGACCCAATGAGACTGGAATATAGAATCAGAGGGCACAGCACCAAAGTAACTGCAGATGGAAAGGGATTCAGGACATGTATAGCTTGTCAAGGGAAATCTTTACCTGCAGAAATTAAATTGCTGCTGTTCCTTGGAAGACACCAAGTATTAGGAGGTGAAAGAATGAGAGAAGCAGGGTTGCTAACATTGCTGAAAGATGATAGTAAACTCCTTGCCGAGCAGAAATTTATCAAAAATGTGATCTACAGGGCATTTCAAAGGCAGCCAAGAAGAGCAATAGAACTAGGGTTATAAAACTAGCTCAAGGGGTTGGAAAAACAATCAATACAGGAGGGGAAAAAAAACAAGGTTCGACTTTGGTCTTTAAGGTGCTAAGAAGGGAGGGAAGAACAGCTAGGCATTTCTTACAGCCAGGCATGGTTGTTGCAAGGGGGAAACAAGGGGGTAGATGTTATTTAAAAGATCTGATCTTCTCAGGAATGAAGACAGTCAATGTTCTACTAAGGGCTCTTGGAAAACAAACACTGTAATCGGGATCAGTAAGCCCTTCTCTTCTCCTGCTTTGGTTCTGACATTTCCAGAGTGTGTGTGCTCTCTCCCTCTTTCTGGGTTGCGGGAGCCACGGGAATGTGGGGTGTACGACACTAATAGTCCTTTGAGGGGTCTACTCCACTTCCTATCTCCCCTCGTTCTTGGATAACATAACCTTCCACGGAGCTACCAAAGTGTCTGTGAGGGTTGCAGTAGCTCGGCATTGGGACAAGAGTCCTCATTTTATAAAAATTGGGTTCTCCCTCCAAAAGCATATTAATGTTGACAAAATTGAAATTACAAAGTTAAAAATAAAAATGGAGATATGCTAGCCAAAACTGAGGGCTAAGGAACAGGAAGGAGAGGAGTGCCTCTTCCTGATTCTGAAAAGCCACTACCTAGAAAACCAGAAGAAGACAACATTTCCTCCATCTTAGAAGTCTCTGGAACTTCCACAGGGGAGAACACCACTCACAGCAGAGCTATGTTCTAAGCAGAAGAGTCATTTTCTTAAAAGGGATGTCTACTACATACAATCTTTAGTGTGATTATTTGATTAATATTTATTTCCCCACTAGACTATAAGTTCTGTGAGAGCACTATCTGTGTTGCTTTCCCTCACCTGTGAAATGTCACATAGTTGACAAAACGAAAAAACAAACCCATTGCCGTCAAGTTGATTTCCACTTACAGTGACCCTATAGGACATAATAGAACTGCCCCATAAGGTTTCCAAGGAGCGGCTGGTGGATTCGAACTACTGACCTTTAGATTAGCAGCCGAACTCTTAAACACTGCACCACCAGGGCTGCCACATAGTAAGCACTCCATAAATGTTTACCAAGTGAATGATGCCTGACATCAACCTAGAACTTACCTCCACAGAACAATATACTTGTTTCTCTGGAACCTCCAAGCCCTGTGAAGTATGTCAAGGGTGTACTGTAGGCAAATGAGTAAAGCAACCCACTTATTGCATTGCTGAGGAGAGTAGATTGGCTATTATTACCATCCTCAGTTTATAGGAGAAGAAAGTCGGGCTACCATTATTCCCATTTTCCAAATTGAGAAATGAGGGAGGTATTATTATCTTTATTTTACAGATGAAGATACCGAGACTCAGAGAGGTAGTTATTTGCCTACATCACAGAGTAAGTTATTAGTAGCTGGATTAGAACCTAAATCTTCTGTCATAGTTTCAAGCCTTTCCTTGAAAATAAAAGCCCTTCCTACATACATGGAAGTCAGTTTTACTTGATCTCTTCTGTAGGCAATGAGAATGGTTCATAGAAAGTGCTTATTAAAACATTGGAACACAGATCTGATCCCTTCCTTCTATTACACTACCTCCAATAGTGATATACGAAATGCTCACATTACCTTACTTGATTCTCATAACCACTTTCTTAGCTGTGCAAGGCACGTACTATTATTCCTACTTTACCTTTGCAAAAACTGAGGCTTGCAGAGGTGAAGAGACTTGATCAAAGTCTTACACTGGGTGCAGCAGGGCCTGGACTAGAGGCCAAGTCCTTGGACTCCACTATTCCACGCTGCCTCTCCTCTAGAAATCGCACAACAGACACTTTAACTGCAGGACTTTAAACCTGGATACTGTTCACATGAGACTGTTCTGGAGTGGCTTTGAAAAAAAGAACCGGAAAGGGCTTTTCTAGCTTGACTATGGACCTTTCTTGATGAGATTTAGGAAGAAAGCTGATTACAGTGGGAATTTTTTTCCTCATTGTTTTACTCTTAGAGTCATTGTCTATAAACCCATTTAAGAATGAGCTGCACACCCATCCAGGATCATCAAGGTACTTGAGGTCAGGGTTTCAGTCCTCCCCGCCATCGCCCCAATTAATAGAGTAATCATCTTATCACATAAATCTTTGTGAAAAATGTGTTCTAGGATGCCTGGACAATGATGCCTAGCTTGGCTTGTTCTGTTAAAGAAAAGCCAAGCAAACCACTCCATTAAAAAGAGGCCAAGTTGTATTAGTGGGCAAGTCCTCACTAGAAAATTTGCCAGAATTGAGGAAATCCACGTTTGCCATGAGTAATCACTAACTTCCTCACCTGTAGGCCAATACCTATTTGACTTCTACTAAGACATTACTCACATCCAGGCCTGTCCACACTAGAATGTTGTAGCCATCAAACAATTTCCTAGGACATGAAATTACAGACTTCTAATGCCCAATAGACCCTCAGATCCAAAAGATTTTGGTCTTCCTTACTAACTGATGCTAGTTTTGAAACCTAGTTACAGCTTCCTCCTGGCACTTGGAGGTTCTGGCGATTTTGATAATATCCAGAGAAAACTGAGGCGAATCTTCTTTGTATCTCTTCCTTAAAGTGTCTGGGAGGGTTTCAGGGCTTCTTGGGACTGGGGGAGCAGCATCAAAGCAGAGGCATGGGCTTTGATCCTCACGGAGGGCCCGGAAGCTCATCATACCTCTTACCCTGTACACACTTCCCCCTCAGGGCTGTACAAACAGCTGCTTCAGGGGTGGGAGCAGGTCAAGACTCAGGCACATGCCCTGTGGAGTGGCCATCTCCTGCAGAGATGTGGAAGGTACTGCAGGACTCTTCTGTTTTGGATTCCAAAAAGTGAAAAGGACACTAGATGTAGAGTGGGAGGAGCCATTGAGTCCTTGCTTTGCCACTCACAGGCTGTGTGACCTTAATCTTTCTGAGAATCCTTGTCTTAGTTATCTAGTGCTGCTATAACAGAAATACCATAAGTGGATGGCTTTAACAAACAGAATTCATTGTCTCATAGTCTGGAAGGCTAGAAGTCTGAATTCAGGGCACCAGCTCCAGGGGAAGGCTTTCTCTCTGTGTCAGCTCTGGGGG